CGGTTTATGCTAATGAATTTTAGCCTTTTCATTTACAGAAAGTAAATTACAGGAGCAATCAGCGTTTGGGGTTGATGGAAACATCAAAAGCAAGTAGTAACCCAAGCCAAAACTAAAAGGATTCTACATGCCTTTGAGCAATTCTGATGATTTAGAAATCTCACATCTTCTTGTGCTGCTTCTTTCAGCTCTGAGACACGAGAAGTTACGCTGTGTTAAAAAAGCTAATAAATAACAGGCCTAATTCTGCTCTCAACAACATGGGTGAATCTGAAAGCGAAGGCAAGGGGGTTCAGGTAGGCTATGTAAGCCAACACCACTACAAGATCTCATCAAAGGCTAATCAGCAGCAGAAAACAATAAAGCTTCTATAAATCAGTGTTTGATAACATATGAAAAGTTAAGTATTTATAATATCTTATCTCATACCCCTGTAATGACAAACTGTAAATATCCACATTGCCTGGATAACCAGCCATAATCAAGATTAATTAGTAACGCAGCACAAGCAGTACAGACAATGAAGGAGGGAAGAGGGGAAGGAATAATATTTTTTTCTTTTATTTTTTGTGGACATCCTGATACAAGAGGTAATTTCACCCAACCTTAAAGGTGCAAGGCAATGCAGAAGAGAAGCAGGCTTGCTGTATAGCAAAACATGCACTTCTAGGTAGTGATATCCATCAGAGTGGCTATACTTTTTTATTTTTATTATTATTTTGTAATAAATTACTATTTTTTCATTTTTCCCAGTGATACGCAGAAGCTCTGCGAAGACAGAACATTACTGCACTGGCTCAGAGAGCACTGATAACATACGGACTCATTTTTTAGGGGTTCTGTCAAGGAATAGGATCTCATCTTTGTAGGGGTCTTGGTTGTGGCAATTATGTACGCAAGGATTACTTCATGCAGGTTTGAATATCCCAGCTGTTGCTTGTCTTCACTCAGCATCAATCTCAAGTGTCTGTAATTAGCCAGTGATATCAGGTGCTCTCCTAAAAGCTGGCAGCGATAGCTCACCTTCTTGGTGCATCAAAGCCAGCCTTGTGTATCTGGGAGCAATCAACAACAGGGGCGTGAGTGCAAATGCTCCAGATTACAACATCAACTTTTTTTTTGAACCAGGTACAACATAAGGTGGATCAACTGCTCTTCCCATTTTGTATTATTTTTTTTGCTTCTTTTTAAGTGGAAAAACGTCCTTCTCATTCAACGCATCCCTATGTCTGATAAGCATTAAGCAAGCAGCATACCTGCAGTACTACCACTCAGCTTTGATATGTTTAAAAGAGAGGGGGAAAAAAAAAAAGGCTCCCTGGATTTGGAAGCAGTGCCTTTAAGGGTATTTATTGTGTGGTAAATATGCCCAGTTCCTAAGCAGAAGAGGGGGTTTCTGGGTTGTTAGTGACATGCAAATAGTGAATGGGTCCTGATCACGATGCCTGTTCATGGGAAAGATAAAGCACCTGCTTGGATAGATACCAAAGTTGAAACCCATGAATTATATTACGAGTGATCAGATGATAGTGTCTTGCTCTTATGAAGTGTTTTCCACTGGTATGCTCAGATCTCAAGGTACATTTAAATGGAAATCAATGCTATGGGAAAACAACTGGGAAGCTGCTAGGTAGAGAAGTGAAGGGACATACTGTGCCAGCCAGGTCACGGGGAAGAAAATCCACGTCTCCCAATTTCCTGATCAGTTTTCTGTCCATTGTCCTACTGCAGGCTACTGCCATTTTTGGGGGCTTTGTTTTTTTGTTTAATGATGCACCTCCTGGAATCATGGAATATCATGAGTTGGAAGGGACCCACAAGGATCATTGAGTCCAACCCCTGGCTCCCCATAGGACCACCCAAAAATCAGAGTCTGAGAACATTGTCCAAACACTTTTTGAACTCCAGCAGGCTCAGTGCTGTGACCACTGCCCTGGGGAGCCTGTCCCAGTGCCCCACCACCTCTGGGTGCAGACCCTTTCCCTAACCCCCAGCCTGACCCTCCCCTGTCCCAGCTCCATGCTGTTCCCTCGGGTCCTGTCACTGTCCCCAGAGAGCCTCTCACAAGGAAGCTGTAGACGGGTGCAAAAAGACCAAGAGGAAAATGTTGATGTGAAAAATGAAATAAAAAATGAAGATGTTGATGTTTACTTGGTTTATGATCTTGCCCCCATAAATCTCTCTTGTTGAGCCCATTGGGTTGGATCTGCAATGGGACATAAATGCCTGAAGTCAGATTTAGGTGGTATTTAGGTACAAATTACAGAATAAGGAACCCCCCAAAATTTCAGTTAGCACTACGAAGTCTGCAGACACCTACATTTTCACTTAGAAAATTTCCCAGCAACTTCTGGGCCCGTTCAGAAGCACCAGCCAAGCTCTGCTCTACAGTCAGGTCATCCCCCTGAAGGTCCTGATCCTGTTGCTGTGCTCACTTAATGATAACTTATTTTTCCTACTATGGCAAATGCCGCTTTCATTTGGGAACACGGCTAGCAGAAACCTTGCAGAGCCCACACAACTTGCTGTGTGGTTCAGATGCTCTCGGGGAAGAGCAACAAGGCGTCTGTGGCAGACGTGAAGAAGGGGGCAGCCTTTCCCTGTCTCCTCAAGTACAGCAGGGGTATTCCCACAAAGACTATTGTTGGTAAAGAATTACTGTATATGGGCCTTAAGGGTCTCTATTTTTTTATAGTTTGGCTGTATAATTAGTCATTTTTGTTTCTTTTTAGAAAAAGGAGAGCAATAGTTCTATTTTTTTTTCATATTTCCCTGACACAATAGGCAATGTCAGTGGCGTTACAAAACTTGTAAAAACATGTTTCTGAACTGTTCTATTTGATCATCCATGCTTCCCAGAACTTCTTAGTAAACTGAGAGAATAGTAGAGAAGGGGATTTCATCCCACCCATAGGACACAGCTATGCAATGGTGCTTTGTGGGTTGTTTTTTTTTCTGAGAAGTTCTTTATGTTGGATGCTACAGCCACAGGCAGATTTAAGGAGTATTGTTTTAAGAAGTACAAGAAGCTCTTAAATTAGTGTCCTCTCTGTTCTTATTCCAACTTCAGTTTCAGTTTTCCTGAGATGCCCCAGTGTGTGAGTCAACGCTGATGTTTAAATCATATCTACGTTGAAGAAGGGGAAAACTGTGACAACCAACAAATCTCTTGTCTTGCAATGTGCAACTGCTCTAGCTGAGTAACTCCACCATAATCCTTGGTATAACAATTGCTTACTGTTTCTGGCTTTTCTCCTATTCTTCCTAACTTTTACTGTATCTTCTTCTTAGGTTAAAATCTGCAATTTAATGTATTATTTTAGTATTCTCACACATGCAATGGTTTCCAAATTCAGAGCCAATGCTGGGAACTGTGAAGGTTCTTTGTAGACTATGAGGTGCCTTTCACAATTTTAAATACTGTAAGACACTAAATTAATTTATTATAAGAACATATTGCTATAAGAGTTAGTGTTGAAATCATGGATCATCAACCAGAGGTCACAAATTAGCCATCTAATGTACTCTCTGGGCTTTATCTTCTGTGGTAATCCTGCAAAATGTTTTACATTTAATTTTAATGCACTCCCTAGGTCAATTTTGAGCTGCAATTTGTCATGCATCATTAATTTACAAGTCTAAACAAGTCCTGATATTAATTATTACTTCACAGCTGCCAAACATTTTATAAAGCTATAGAGATATTCCTGTTCTTCATCTCTACCTGTGAGCGTCTGGCTGCTGATTTTTTGGTAGTCAGTGCTTATTTCTTCTCATACTTTGAATCTGTTAGTCTGTGCTTATTCTGAAAAATACTGCAATATGAAGCAGGCAATTACGACAGCCATTCCATAACCTTCTGTGTGGTATTTGTCACCCACTGAGATTTTCTCAGCCCTGGGAATTGTTAAGTCAATGTTGTCTCAGCTAAAGACCAGCAACTATAACTAATGTTTTCAAAGCTGGCAGAAGCTGCATTCTGACATCCATTATTTATACCTTTTGATAAAGTGATCTGGTTTTTAGAAACATTAGAAAGAAAAAAAGAAATCAACAAAAATTAATTACTAGCATTTCTAATTAGGAAATAGAAATAATAGTCTATAGTCACCCGCCTGTATTTGTATCAAGTCGTATCTCCTTGACCAGGGCCATTTTGGCCCAGACACAGCCTGTTACGTTAGAAAAGCAGTTTTTAAGTTTGGGATTAATATTTTACAGCAGTGGCCAATGGGACACCACAATCCAGGTCCTACCCGTAAAGGTACGAGAACATCGATTAGTTCAGACATGAATGCGAGCAGATAACGATGCCAGACAGTAGCATGGCTCTACAAAACTGCCTGCATACTTGAAGAATTTGAGAATATTTTAGTTTCAGAGCCAACCCACAGCTTTGAAAAGGCTGATAAACACTTTCTAAAGGAAGAGGGGGAAGCAAACGGTCAGCTTTCCCTTCCAGAACCACCTGAAGGACATGGTGGGAGAGCTGGAGACTCCCTCCATCCTGCAGCCAGGAGGTGGATGGTTATTCCTTTCCTGCAGTGGCTCCTGGGTCATTTTTGCCACTCCATCCCTCCTGCCTGATACTGCAGGACACGGAGATGAAGGCTGCAAGCACGGCTCTGATCTGCCAGCCCTGCTGTTGCCACAAGGGGAAGGGAAGGGAGGAGGAGGAGGGAAGCAGCTGCCTTCTTCACCCTCTATCCAAACAGCAGCTCGCGGGAGGGACGTTGCCCTACCTGGGCATTAGGCTTTAGCCTACCCCACCTATTTAAGCTGCCGGGGTTTGTGTTTCCTTTGCAGCAGCAGCACAGCCCGTCCCGCCTGGCTGACCTCCAGCAGCAAGCCTACAGCTGAGAGGCTGGTTATAGCACACGGCGATATGCTGGACTTTTATATCCAGAGCTGAAATAACAAACTCGGTTCACGCAGGGGGCAGAGCTTTGGACTCATCCCTGCTTGAGAGGCCTGGTTATTTATTAATTATATTTAAAGTTTTATAACAGCTTAAAAGGAATGCGAGCCAGAGGCAACACTTCCAGTCAGGCCTCCCTTGTGCAATGCTTGTGTAATTCTCTCAGTTTATTGCTGGCTTGTGCAGCTACAGAAAGCTTCAGCCTGCTCCCTTCTCTAATGCCTCCACCGGTCCCGGTGATTTCCTCATCCCTTGACACACAATCCCCCAAAGCACTGCCTTCTTGTGAAATCCCAGGGCACGGGAGTCCAACGTGCAGGCCAGTGCTGGGGAAGACAGGAAAAAAAAAAAAAGAAATCTTTCCCAATCACTTTCTAAGGAAAATTTGTCAGACTCCTGCTGCCTGATACCCACCTGGCGAGATGGCAGAGAATGCTCCAAGCTGCTTCCCTGCCTGAAATCCCCCTCACTGTACCAAGCCAGGGGGTTGATGGTTTGCTAGTTCCAAGTGTCTGCTTCGAGAGAAGAGTTCAACAGCAGTGTTAAAGGGTGGTGTAAGCCAACGAGATCTGGTTTTACGGATCGAGGTGCCCTAGCTCGCTGGGTTAGGAAAGGCCTTTATAAACATTTCGGGTATGACTTGTCAGCGCGTGGTGCGACTCACCCTCCTTTTACGCAGGCTGAGCCTCTGTGGGGCATGGATAACCACGGATAACTTCATGTGCCATAAAGCTGTTTGTGAAAGCATCTGGAGACAGACTTCTGACCACTTCTGAGTGGGCATCTGCAGCCACCTGCTGGCTCCCTGCAGCCCCAGGTGGGATTTCTTCCTCTTTCCTTCCCCACGGGGGCATGTCTGGCAGTTCTTGCTACTTGCTGGTGTTTCTTCAGACCCTGGCCTCAAGAAGGAGAAGCTGAGAGAGACAATGTGCTGCATCCCATCAGAAAATAAATGAGGAAATCCTTTAAACCCCACTGTCCTTCCCTACAGCTGAATTTAGCTCTGCAGGAGTGCCGACAGGGAAAAGGCAGGCCTAGAGCCTGACACAGGTTCAATGTGTTGCACGTGAGCTACAGCTCGTACCTTGATTAAATGAATTTGCATAGCCAGTATTAGTTAAATCCTAATGTACTAATGAAGATGTTAATCAATGAAGAAGTGTGCAGAAAACGAGATGCAAACTGAATAAGGCACAGGAAGGCGTGCTTAAGGGAGTGGTTCTGGAGAGGTTTTTTCACCTTGCTGTTGGGGATAACGCCATCCTGCTTCCACGAGGCCTTATCAAGATCAGCCGGCAAGCAGCTGCTTTGATTTTACCAATAAAAGATGTTATCTGTGCCTCCTGATTTCTTTTAAATTAACACGTAACTTTCTGTAGCAATGTCACAGGTTTCGTAAACATCCTGGCAAAGGTACCAAATGTTAATTGGGCCTGCTAATCTCAATTTAATAGGACGATCAACATCTTTTGTTTTTTTTCCCTTCCTGTGCCTCTGACTGTGTCATTTCTTCCCTAATCCCCACTCTTTGCTCACTGCATTTGTTCGGTTACCCCGTTGATTTATTTTTGCCTAGACAAAGCACCTTCCTCTCCCACTACACACCCCGTCACAGCTCTGGCCTCTGGTGCTGTCGAAGTGAATAAAATGGAGATGCCAAGTCCTCAAGCTCTCGCTGTCTGAAACCATTATGAAATAGACCTGGATTAATGAACTGACTGTGGTGGCAAGAAGGGAACACAGAAGATGGTTGGGATCTAATTTCAGAGCAGTTTCCTTCTGTCAGCTCTCCTCCACAGATTTTGTCCTAGCCATACCACTCAAAGTCGTCTTCTGAACTGAGGCTCAAGCCTGATCGCTATCCTCAACCTCTCTGACCACTCTGTTGCCCTTGACACTATTATTAATGCTTTGTGTTTTTCCATCTTGTCACACCGGAGTTAGTGCCTTTTCGATGCTCTTTTTCTCTCAGTCCAGGCTTTCTTTCCAAAATCTTCCACCCCCAAGTGGAGCGTCCCCTCCAAACTTCCCGCAGTGCCTTCCCTCCCTCCCTCTGTTCTCCATCCTCGGGTGACCTCTCCTGCTGACGTGGATGTAAGTATTACCTCCATGTCAACTGCCTTTAAAGTGCTTATCTACTGCTGATTGCTCTTCCGCACGTAGGTTTTGCATCTTACTGCCTCCATAGTGCTACATCCTGACAGATAGCTTGCTACCACCTCTCTGGGATCCAAAAAGAAGCTCATTAAAAAACAAACCAAACAACGCCGCTTTCCTCAGCTATCTGGCTGGCAGCCAGTGTGTTTGTCAATTTTAATGTCTTTGATATTTAAATTTAGCTCTCTCTTACTGCTGATACCATTTGGCAGAAGGTGTACTTACAATATGATTCCCAAAGCTCTTTGCCAGGCATCTCTTTGCTGCACTCAAATTCTTCCCAGGAATTCACTTCTGCTTATAAATAAATGCAGGGACGAACAAGCTATCAGTGCTATCCTAATTAGCTAAAGAGACGATTTTATTGTTTTTCACTCTTCTTTCTTCTCTTTGTCTGTATGCTGTACGAAATCTTCCCTTCTAGCCAAGGATGGTCTTTAATTGTTCATGACACATCTAAACCACTTCAGTGTGCATTTGTGGTTTTCTTTCACAGAATTCCAAGGAAGAAAAAAATTGTTTTAGTAACCGGATGGTGTGGCTACAAACCTGCAACGCTGCTATCTGGTGTCAGAGGCAGATAAAGCATCTGTGTGAGGCTGTCGTACTTCTGTGTCCTAGTTTTGAGACTAGTTGGGCAAGGTGGTGCAGGTTGCACTAAAAGTTTTCACATGTTGAACATCTTGGTTTAAGAAGAGAAAAAAAAAAAAGAGTTACCTGATAGCTAGTCTTAGTAAGACTATTTAGACTTTTTAAATTTAGAAGACTTCAACACTTCAGAGCTGCACAAGTATTTTCTTCATGTAATTTTTAAGTTATGGATTATTCTTCATTGAGTCTCCTACTATCAATTTTGAGAAAGATCCGAAAAATTGCTGCTCTTGGTTTACTAGGACTTGATTCTGTAAAATTTTAAGAAATTTTAGAATGTTGAAATCCCATTGCGTAACTTCAAGTGATTCCATGTCATGCCACTTGAGTTGTATTTGACCAAAATAGAGGTGCTGTTATTGCTTATATATGTACACAACATACACACACACGCACACGGGCAGTTAGCTGTTGCCAAAACCTGAAGATGTTTATTGTGCCTTGATACCAGCACCTGTGTCATTACGGCACCCAAATACTTAGAATTTCTTTTAGACAGATACCCACTGAGATTTGGGGAACAGGTTTTTGCCCCTCCTGTTTCACCTGCAGGATTTAACATGATGTAATTGCCGACATGCAGCTCCATACAGCCATGGCTGAAAGAGTCTGCCTCTTTTCCATAATTGCTCGGAAGTGAGGCGTTCACCTAGACCTAAATTATTTTCCAGTTTCATCCCAGGACATTGGAAGCGTCTAGATAAGTGCTGTAATCACCCAGGCATTCGCAGGAGATGTTCTAAACACTGTTTTCAATAAAATGCTTAACTGCTGTTGGGCACAACACCCAGCACCCTTGAATGCTCTAATGACCACACTGTATTATCATAACTCATTTGTTTTTCTCATCCTGCTGAATATTCGGGTATGCCATACACAGCAGAACTTCCACAGGGGGCCAGAATATCCTGCAGCAGATGGGTAAAGTGGCAGAAAGAGGAAGGAGCTTGGATCTAAACCTCCTCTAGAATAAAGGCACCTGGACTTTGGTATCCCACATCCTGGGCACCTTATCTGGGCATCTAGGTGATTACCCTGAGCATTTAGGTAAATGGTCAGCTCTTGTCTATCCCTTGAAAGGGCTGATAACCTTCACCGTTTGAAAGGTGAGAAGAGGTTCCTAACTGCACGGGAGAGTAGATACTTCCAGTGCCTGAATGGTGAGCTCTGCAAAGCCTAGGGCTGACCCCAGCCTCCTTCATGGGCTTATCTCAAAGGAGTTCTTCCCATGAGAATTACACCTCCCAATTGGCAGAATCAAAACCTCAAGACCAAATGGATGGCAAACAGGAGGTACAATAAAGCTCCTGTTCATAAAGAGTCTTCTAACTAGATAATTAACCTTTTAAGAATGATTGCAAAAAAAAAAAAGGTTTAGCTTTTCTCTTGGCCCCAGCCCTTTTGTATGCATAAAAGCCTTATTATGAAGCAGTAGAGGAGACCTGCTCCTTTTAGATCCTTAGAAATACCCAGCATGAACTTCAACAAGGGATACTCAAATATACATTTATTATTATTATTTTTGTAAATTCAGCATATATACAAATTCATTGGTCTTCCCAGCAGCAGCTCAAGAACGGTATTTAACTCTGAAGTTACCTAGGAGCTGTTCTGATGCTTTTTCTTGCACATTTTGTGTTCACAATATAATCCCAAACCCGTCAAATGTAGTGGAAACTGTGCTGTTGATTCTGTTGTTCAATGGGAGATGTCTTTTCTCATGGTGCTTTATAAAAGTGGTATAGAAGTAAAACCAGGAAAGTTTCAGTCTGAGAAGACTGCCTGACATGCATTAATTATTGAATGCATATTAATATTCATAAGAGACCCAATTATGTGGGAAAGTCATAGGGATCTTATTTGCTGATTAGAAAAGAAAACACTGGCATGGTATTTTTATGAAGTTCACCTTGTTAACTAAAATTTATGTCAATAAGCAAGTGCAAGGTTAAGATGAAACAGGATAATCACACTGGTGAGGTAACTGCTGATGCAAAAATGATAGAAATGAAATGGAGTGCTTTTTCAGCAGGTAAGAGTCTTAAAATCCTGGGATAATTTAGTTTGGAAGGACCTCTGGAGGTAGGTTGGTCCAACTTCCCCATCAAATCTGGGCCAAATTCAAAGTTACATTCCTCAGGGCTTGTGGGACACACTGAAGTGTTAATAAAACATGAAACAGGAAATGCTTGAGAAAACGAGGTGGGTATAATTAGATGTAAGAGGCTTACTTAAGGGTGGTTCTTTGGAGTTTCATCCAGGAAAAATGTTTTTCATAGTCACCAAACTGTCATGTTTGGCCAGGCAGTGCTAAAAGCAAATGAGATAAAAGGCTGAAACCTTATCTACAATGGCTGCTGATCATAAGGGAAGGTTTCCAAAGTTTTGCTAAAATAAACCTCAGGCTTCCTGTAAAAATGACGGTGATTTGGGACAGCCACAAATATAGTACATAACAGCTGGGCCTTATCTGACATCATTTTAATCTAAAAGTCAGCATCTCAAAAAACTTTGGATCGCTTACTGAAGGACCCCTGCAGGAGATGCTTGCAGGAGATGCCTGCCTCAGGTCCCTGGGGAGGAGAGGGGAGCTTCGCAGCACAGACGTGTAGGGTGGAATGGAGCAGCAGTTCCAGTGTCATCCTGAGAGCTGGCGTGTGGTGAGCAGCATCCCTGCACACACGGACATCGCCGTGTGATGAAGAGCACCACTTCCCACCCACTGGCACACCTCCTAGAGGTGTCACTGCTCTCCTTCACAGAGTAAAGCCAAAGAGTGTGTTTGTTCCTGTTCCTGGGAGGGGTCTCCATGCTGAGATTTTAGGATGCATTCAGCCTCATGCAGCTCTGCCCACTGCCATTCATCTGTCCCACCATGAGGGTGAGAACCAAAGACAAGCGAAGATCTTGGAAGAGCTGACCTTGTTCAGCAGGGCTCTACCATCTTCAGCCAGATGGTAGAAAAAAAATAAGATTCTTATTGAACAATTAGGATTTTTTTTTCCTATAGCATCTATAATTTTTAGAAAGTCCCCAAATTAAAAGATCAGGAAACTTCTTAACTGAAGAGATATTGTGAATGCTTCTTTTTTCCATTAATTTTCTGCTTATTTTTCTCCCCATTGTTCACTTTCTCTTTTGAACTCCCCATGCCAGCAAAGTCTTACTGACTGTGCATGGTCCATTATTCAGGTCAGATATATTTGTGATGAAATTTTTGAGGTCCTCCAGCTATTCTGTTGTCTTGTGAAGTGCTGTAATACTTGCTTTAATTGTGTAAGGAACAATTAAAAAGACTGACCTATCCATCATGATTTCTCAAAAGACATCTGTGGGTACCAAGAGCAGAGTCTGAATTATATCGATTTGTGATTATAAAACTGCTAAATTCACCTCATATAGTGTCTTCTCAGCATTGTTTCCTCAGTCTAGCTCTATT